TGTTTTTTGATAAATATTTGTAATAATAATGAATAAATAATATAATTTACATGTACAATTTTTCTTGACATATAATATTTGTCATTATTGTTTAGAAAGAATATAAACAACGCATTATAATGTCAGAATATTCAAATATACATAATGTACTTATTTGTCATAAATGTTTTTACATAATAAAACTAATTAATTAGTTAATAGATTGACAAGATAATTTATTTTTCAATTGTAATTCAACATAAAAGCAATTTTATTCAAAACAATTTTTATAGCATTAGGGAAACGGTAAATAATTATATTTTTAAAAACAACCTTTATCAGTTAACAAGTGACAAATTACAATGCTAAAAATATAATTAAATAATCGATATATATTTTAAATTATTTTTGTTATACGTAAATTATTATATAATTTTATTTGGCATGTTGTAATACATGCATTCTTTGATATTGATTTTATGTTTGAAAATATATTAACAGCAATAAGTGATATGCAATGAAATTTTGCTGAAAAACTTAATGCCTTAATTTGAACATGACCATTTTTCAGCAGTTTCAGTTTAATATATTTTTTGACATTAAACTATTTAAATTTATTTATTCTATTATTTGCATATTTATGTGTTTGTATCAAATCATAACGATATGTGAAATATATTTCTCATACAAAACCACAACAACTGTTAATTACGACAATTATAATTCAATATCATTGCCGGCAATTACTATATGTTTTGATAAAATTGATGTTTTGAGAGATAACTACTTAACACAATTGAATGTTACTTCAAAACACCGTAAAAGAAATAATAGAAATGTTATAAAACAAAAAGTGAATACATTTTACGCAAACCATACAATTAGAGACCAATTTCTTATATCTTATAATTATAATGAGATTTTTAATTCGTGTTATGTTTTGACTACAAAAACAAATACCAAAATAAACTATTATGAAGAATGTGAAAACATCAATAAAATTGTGCCTTCAATTGACAACAATCAGTAAATTAATATCAGTGACTCTCTCTCTCTCTCTCTCTCTCTCTCTCTCTCTCTCTCTCTCTCTCTCAATTTGATTAAATATTATATTAATAAATTATATTTTATTTGCAGATTATGTTTTACATTCATGTATCAAAAGAAAAACACATTGGAAAATAAATTTAGCATAAATAATAATATCATATACCGTGAATATTTTGACCTATTTGTGGTACAACTCATACGTAAAAATATTATACCATATCTAACAATACATCCGAGAAATCAGTTATTATTCAAACGCTTTCGTTGGAAATTCATTGACTTTCCCATCAATATATCATTAGCTGATTATTTCATAACATATAATAAAATTATAGTAAAATTATTAAAAGCCCCGTACGAGACAAACTGTATTGATTACAATGCCCATGGTTATATTAGCTTAACTGATTGTATTGACACGTGTAGGTTTAATCACTTTAAACGAGAATGGTCGGACACAAATTTATGGCCCGACATTTACTTTGCATATAATACAGAATCAGAGAATAAAATGGTTACCATGTTTAAATATTTTGAAAATAATATGAGTCTGGATGATATATTGGCCATAAAATGTTTGAAACATTGCGGTAATGCCAGGGAATGTCTGAGCGAGCTATATACTATACACACTAGCAAGGTTGCTTATGCAATGTTTGACGATATACTAACGATTTCTGCCCCCAACACACCCGACCTAATCCATAGCCATTCGCCGAAAATACTGTTTGAAGAGTTTGTCTCATATATTGCTTCGTATATCAGTCTATGGTTTGGTTTCTCTATTATAATGCTATCAAATGTTTTGCACAAATGCTATCATTATATGCATAACAAGTTTATAATTCAACATAATAATATTATCAATTTATTTAAAATAACTAAAACTCGACCAAGACAAAGCACTCGTATAATACAATTAAATAGAGTGGCCGTAATTAATTAGTATTATAAATTACACATTACTGTCAAATAAAAATCTATTTTAAAATGTTAAAATGATAAATTCTTTGTAATCAAGATTGTTATATCAATATATGATTAAAATAAAAATTAAAATATGATGTATTAAAATACAGATGAAATAATTTGTTTGGAAAACACAATGTACAATGCAATTTTATAGATGGTCATAATTTATTTGATAGACCAAAAATTGATAAGACAACGTGTAATATATACCAACAAGCCATTAGTTTAACTTTAATTGCTGTTAATTGTTTATTGGACAGGGCTATCAGACTCATTATAATTACTGACTGGAAAATTACCAGGAGTGATAATCTGAAGTTCACGACACTTTAATAGACTATTTGATAAAGATAAAAATAAATGTTAATCAAAATGATAGATGGGAGTTTACTCAACTGTTTTTGTAATTAATATTTAGACCAGGAGAGCGCAAGTCAGCTTTCAAAGCTAGACGTTGCCTCTATACTCCCATAGACAATACATTATAGCAATGCCCGATTATGCCCGCTTAGAGAACCCTTGATTTAGGCTTAATATGTATAAATTAATTTGTAAATACGACATATTAATAATATTTAATGAGTTATCTAAAAAGCACTTTAATTAAATAATCTATACTAACGGTGTTCAGAAAATACACGTCAGTACACATAGCATAAAACCCTTGTGTTGTAATTTATACACTATTCATATGTTACTCACATATAGTGTACTCTAATATAATGAAAACTTGAAAAAACTCCTTGGCAATTCAATAACCACGTCATGTTTATAATATACCCCGTTTCAATCTGAACGCTTTTAATCTATACACAAGTTAATGATTTATATGCAATATAAAAAAACAATTATTTTTATTATTCATTACGGTTGTAATTAATTTTTTTTTGTTATTGGGATAAACTATAAAAATATAGAAATAAACAATTTTTCAATAAATTGTCATGGTAATTTATAATAAAGTTGTCATTAAAATAAAATATTCCTGTTATTAGCAACTTATTTACAATATAAATATGTCTAAAAAATATAATGTCAATTTTATTATTGCTAGATGTTTTATTGTTTGTTACACAAATTTAATATTTTGTAAATTGAATTAATTTATGTTGTGTCATTTTAGCATTATAAAAACTGTGATGGTACTACTTTAAGTTTAAGTTAGAAAACTATATTAAATATGAAAATCTTTCGTTGGAATATAGCTTTTGACATAAAATTGTTTAAATTCATATATTTTATTATTTGTTTATTCATGTGTTTGTATCAAATCATATCCATATTTAAAATATACTTTTTATATAAAACAACGACAACCGTTACATACGATGAATATAAATCAATATCATTGCCGGCAATCACTATATGTTTTGATAAAATTGATGTCTTAAGAGAGAAGTACTTAAGACAATTGAACATAACGTCTGAAAACTTAGATAAATATGAATCGAAACAAAAAGTGCACGAATTTTATGCAAATCATACGATTAGAGAGCAGTTTATTATGTCTTATAATTATAATGAGATTTTCAATTCATGTTATGTTTTGACGACACAAATGGATATTAAGATTAATTATTATATAAAATGCGAAAACATTAGCAAAATTGTGCCGTCGATTGACTACACCCAGTAAATTAACTTTAATTACTCTCTCTCTCTCTCTCTCTCTCTCTTATTGCCGGCAATGATATTGATTTATATTCATCGTATGTAACGGTTGTCGTTGTTTTATATAAAAAGTATATTTTAAATAATCTTGATTAAAATATATTTCAGGCTATGTTACACATTCATGCATCAGGATAAAACTACACCGGACACCATGTTCACAATAAATAACAATATCATTTATCGTGATTATATAGACGAACCCTTTACTGTACAACTGTTGCGAAATTATACAACATTTTACCTAACAATACATCCGCGAAAACAATTAATATTAAACCGTTTGCGACAACGATTTACCGATTTTCCCATAAGCACACCATTAGATGACTATCACGTGACGTATAATAAAGTGTCCGTAAAATCATTGAAAGCCCCGTACGAGACAAACTGCTTTGACTACAGCTCCGAGGGCTACACAAGCCTATCCGACTGTATTGACAAGTGTAAACTAGCTCATTTTGCTTTAGAGTGGCATGATCAAGATTTATGGCCGGGTTATTACATGGCCTACAATACAGAGTCTACGCAAACAATGGTAGATATGTATGAATATTATGAAAGCAATGAGACGTTAGACAATATATTGGGTGCAAAATGTCAACAATATTGCGGGTATATTAGAGACTGCTATACAGAGTATTATGATTTACATACTAGTAAATCGTCTGTACACTTACATGATCAATTTCTGTCATTGTCAGCTTCAAACACACCCGACCTAATCCATAGCCATTCGCCAAAAATACTGTTTGAAGAGTTTGTCTCATATATTGCTTCGTATATCAGTCTATGGTTTGGTTTCGCTATTATAATGCTATCAAATGTTTTGCATAAATGCTATCAATATATTCATAATAAATATATTTGCTATAAATTAAATTTATATTCAACTCATACCATTAATAATAATAATAATTTATTTCAAATAAATGTATCTAGAAATAAGATAAACAGGAATTCTAAACATATAAATAAAGTTGCAGTAATAAATTTGTAATTATTTTAATTGATTTATTAAATAAAAATTATTTTGTTGTTATACGTTTATTTTAGATTACATTGATAATGCAAATGATAAAAATCAATAAATAATACCAAGCTTCTGAGTGAAATAATTATTACGATCATTATTTTATTATCTAGAAGAATTATTTGTAAATAATTTAAATCAAAAATGCATCATGTATGCATTTATAATGGCAATAATGTTTGCATTAAAATTATTAAATTAAAATATGAAAACACAGTGTAGGTTAGACTATCACTAGACAATCAACTAGTACATTATAGAAAAATAAAATAGTAATTGTAATGCAGTTAAGTTTATCTGCTTTAATTTTGGCTGTGAATAAAATAAATTATAATGGTTGAATGTTGCTAAAGCATGTGGGTGGTTGGCTACGATCATTGGCCATGATGGTGTTTTGAATCCACCACATAAACGACGAAACCCTTATAAACACGCCTTCTGTAGTCGTTTCGCAAACAACTCCTAAAAAACTCTGCGTAACCCCAATCAGTACAGCGCGACCGCTACGGGTATACTGTACGAGCGGACCACCAGAATCACCCTAATTATCACCAGAAGTAAATTAGTCATTAAATTAGTAGTATAAATAAATTATTAAGGTGCTTGATAATCTCAAGTAACAGGTAATAGTGTTGCTAATCTAGTGATCTAAACACATGACTCACTAGTGATCATGACAGTAGCAGTGATTGTAAAAAATACATACACCGTGAGTGATTCGTGATTGACATTTCTCTCACGTCTCGCACAATTTGTAATTGGCTATTTTTTGTTATATACGTATATTTTATATAAAGGTACTACAATTTTATATTAATATCTTATATTCTTATTCGTGATAATTATGTAATAAGATATATCAACAAGGGCTATTTCCATATTTAAATAACATGTAGATAAAACGTGATTGACAAGAGTGAGCGTGAGTAGAAAAGATTTTTCCTACACTAATATATGTAAATTTATGTAATAAATACGTGGCAAACAGTGGGTAGAGTGTGATTGGGTCGGGCCGTGTATATCACATGGCAATGGCTGTTATATTGGCGGACCCGCACTCGCATCCAACCGATATGTAGCCGATCCCACATTTGTTGCACCGGACCCGTCATACCGTAACCGGCAATCAGGGCGTACGCGCCGTAATTGATGTCATCCATGTCTAGGCCGGGTAGACACGCGGCGGCCACGTTTGGCCGCACGGGTTCTCCACTACTTCTGGTCGCGACTGGACTCAAGTCAAGCGGGTGTTGGAGTTTAATCAACGCTATGTCCAATTGATGGACAAGGTTTTTGCTAGGGTAATTTATCCAGCGCTCCGCCGCCCACCCACTAGTGCTTAATTGTTCCTCGTCAATTTCGCCCACGTGAACGATTACTTCAGTGGTATTGCTTGGGTGTGTTGAGTAAAGTAATATTTGCAGTCATGGTGAATTTTATAATAAATTATTATACTCACGATGTAGTAAAAACTACACAATGTCTGGCGGTTATGATCCAGCGCTCGTTTAGTATTGTGCCAGTACAACGCGAACTAGATACAAAATAAATATGGTAATTACTTGAGAGAGAGAGAGAGAGAGATAGATAGATAGAGAGAGAGAGAGAGAGAGAGAGAGAGAGAGAGAGAGAGAGATTTAGGATCTAGACTAACCTAACCCGGGTGCCCGTTTGATCGACACCGTTAATTACAAGGTATGCAATCCACGGTAACTCTCCCTTCACTGCTTCCCTACCGTTCATTATATTACTCAATATATCATTGCTTTTATGATACGTAAAGCACTGGTCAGTCGTCGGTCTAATCGGACCTCCGATACCACACTCACCGCCCGTTATGTTCGGGTAATTACCGATCACTAAATCACCCGAACTATGGACCACACCATTGGTTGACAATACTGTGATATATGAGCAAAACATTATTTAATTAAATATTGTTTTATTAGATTATTAACTATTACCTAAAAATAAAACATAATATTTGGCCATTTTTAAGATACAGTATATGGTTTGTTTATACATTTGTAAATGTAAATATATTTGGATAACTCAACACCAATAGTAACACAATGCCAAAAGTCATGAAATGTTATCTAAATCTAGATACTTAATATATTATGAACACTCTGCATACAATAGAAAATGTAATATCACAATGATCAATTTTTACATTCACAATATTTACAATTTCTTTATTTTGGATAAATATGGTATTTATAACTATTGGTTTATATTTTAATAGAATAAGACATTTATTTAATATTACCAAAAAATAACGTTTGCCAATTGTCCATTACATCATCAGTGTCCAGAAACATTCAATTAACAACGAGATAGAATTATTTTAATACAAATTAGATTTTTATTAAATAAATGTGTAACATTTTATTTATTTAGATAAAATAAAGAATAGAAATTGATATATCAATTAACAATTAATAGAAAAACACATATTGATATTTATCTGAAAATACTAACACAAAATAACCAATATTAGATCAATTATTGAATTTGTTTATTTAAATATAATTAATATTTAATAATATGGTTTTCCACATTGATATATCATGGTGGTTGGCTATAATCATTGACATGAATTGTGTTTGCAATCCATCAGATAAATGCCCATTAATTACAAAACATTAATTAAAATTACAATAAAATAATTACTAACTATTATGCAATTAAGTTTCTATGATTATAGATTATCATATATGCCAACAAATTATAATGTTACAATCTTGCTAAAGCATTTGGGTGGTTTGGTATGATTATTGGCCATGATGGTATTTTCAATCCACCACATAAACGACGAAACCCTTACAAATATGGCTTCAATAGTTGTATCGCAAACATATCCCTCAAAACCTTCGATAACCCCAATAAGTACGGCCCGACCGCTACGGGTGTACTGTATCAACGGACCACCAGAATCGCCCTATTAACATGGTCAATTAATGATCAATTGAGATTTATTATTATGTTTGTGTTAATTAAATGTATTAACTGATTAAAGTATGTCAATTAAAGTGCTATAATTAAAAAGTAATAATTTTGGATAACAAATGACCTAGCCCATTCTGAATTGAAACAAAATTCAAAATAAAAACATACAATGTAGAATTGAAGCAACATTATAAGAATTGAAAAGTTGTAATTAATTGTGATTTATACACAAAGCACAGGGTCATTCATTACAAGTCTATGAATTATGGGCTAGGCCAATTTATCACCCAAAATTATTTTTTAAGCCAAAATAAATATTAAAATTAACCAAGCTGTAAAGATTATATTTAATGACAAAAATTATATGCAATAATACGTGACAATTAGCTGGTAGAGTGTGATGGGGCCGACCGGCGCGTATCATATGACAGTGACCGTTATTGGGTCGGTCCGACACTCGCATCCATCCAATCCGTAGCCGCGCGTACACCAGGGGCTGCGCACCCGTACGGCCGTAACCGGCGATCAGAGCGTACGCGCCGTAATTGATATCATCCACGCCCGGGCCGGGTAGGCACGCGCTGGCGAGGTTTGGTCGCTGGGGTTGTCCACTACTGCCCGGCGGCAGGACTGGACGTAAGTCAAGCGGGTGTTTGAGTTTAATCAACGCTATGTCCAACTCTTTGCGCGTTTGTATGCTGGGGTAGAGTATCCAGCGTTCGGCTGCGCGCCCTCTACCGCCCATGTGTTGCTCGTCGAGTACACCCGCGTAAACAGTCACTCCCGTTGTGTTACTGTAATGATTGATTGTGGTAAAATCATTGTGTCATGGTCAATCATTTGTGACAATTGTAATACTCACTGCAAATCAATGACTAAACAATGTCTAGCGGTTAAAATCCAGCGCTCGTTTAGTATTGTACCCGTACAACGCGAGCTAGGTTAAAAACAATATTATATAATTAAAATTCATGTTAATTATTCAGTATGAGAGAGAGA